CAAAACATGTCGGCTTCATTCATGCGACAATACATTTATTAGATATGTACATATGTATGTACATATGTACACTCATACATATGTATGTATATGAAACATTCATTCATTGTTCCATGCGTTGCATTCGCTTGGAACACGCCGCTCCACAAGCGCTTGCTGTTTGTACGTTTGTTGTTTGCTTGATCTGTGTGTGCACGAGCGTATCAGCTACTATTGTAAAACATTAATGTATGCATCTATTAATTAATATACTAAACATCTAAAACAAAAAATAAAAACAAAAATTATTTGCATAAATTCATATATAAATACAACAAAGAAATGCAAATCAAGTACATATATATCTATAATCGCAATAAATTCATAAATTGATTAATAAAATACAGTAAATGTAAAAATAATTTGAGTGCAGTTGTATTTTCTCTTTTACGCGTCAAATTTGGATTATAAAAGAAATAAAAGAAAAAAATAAGTACATATTTCTGTAGTGCCCCTACAAAACAACGGCCGTAATCCTAGTATGTACTCCAATTGACGGTTGCCGTTTATCCACCTAGACAAAGCTGCAACAGTTGCTGTGGGCAATAGGGAAGAAGAAGGCGGCGGTGCTGCAATTAGAAACTTACTCACAAAAATTACAGCGTTTGAATTACAATTTGCTGAGACATTTTGGTAACCGGCAACTAGTAGAACGCTGTGGACGAAGTTTCACAAACCGGGAAGCCACTAGGTGCCTTTTGATTACTCCTAAACATGAACTGCGTGATAAGGTCCCAAATCTCCCTGCTTTAAGTATCAAACGAAACTAAAATTAGCAAGCAATTACTTGTTGGTTGCTAGAGTAGGAAATATCCGAACCGTCACCAACTTGGAACACAGCTTGAATTTGAAGCTGAGCTCCAAAACACGACCAACCATAACCAACTCCACATTCTTGCGGGCGCTTTGTATGTATGTAGATATGCAGTAAAAAACCAACAGTACCGGAAGCTATGCAAACGTTCAGGCAATCAACGGCATTCGGTGGTTCCCTAGTTTAGTCGGCTGCATGGAGAGACCTTTATTCTGGCGCAAGTACGATCTGGATACTGCTACTTCTGCAACACCTTCAAAACCAGACTCGACACGCGACATAGCCATTATACTTACAAATTCTCTAAAAGCCAGTGAAGAGACGCACCTCCCTTCCGTTCGACCCTGCTTTACTGGCTATAACAAAGTGTTGAATCCCACACTTTTTCGTAATGACAACAACATTTTTTTGCAACAGTTTTTTTTGCTCACCTAAAAAATACCCATTTTCACATTCGATAGTTTGACATGGTAGCGACGATATAACAGCGTGTTACCCACACAAAAATTAATATACTCGGGGAAACTCGGGGGGGGGGCGGGCCAAATATAGTAAAACTGCGTTTTTAGTTTTTCTCTCTGACGTCAGGATTTCTTTTAATAAATTAAAAAAATTATTTCAAAAATTCAGTGCAATGTAGAATATCGGTGTCAAATAAATGAGAAAACCTTGCTAGATTGAAAGAAAATGAAATGTTTTGGTGCAGAAGGACGAAAGGGCATTGAAATTGTCTTTTTAACTTTATTAGCTTGCGATAAAAATTTTTTTAAAGGACATTTTCTATACTATTAGTCGTCTCTGTGCACGAAAAGTTTTGACGTTTTTCAATTCTATGGAATCTTCGCTCTCATTTAGTACCCATATTTTTATTCTACAGTGCACTGAATTTTTTTACAAATTTTTTTGAACTTCATATCCTTGAAGATTAAAAGTCCTCTAAAAAAGATACTGATGTCGGAGATAAAATAAAAAAGCAGTTTTGCTGAAATTGGCTCCTTGTTTCGTAAGTATGTATGTATATTGTTTCGTGTGTTTTTTGGTTTTTGTCGCACGTTGCAATATGTATGGCAAGTCACATGACTATTTACTATTTACTCAACACAAAATTTTTTGATTAACTTCCGGCCGTATAATACGTAAGTTTTCAATCCCGAGCACATGAAGGTTAATAATCAGGCAGGTTCTGCAATTCACATCAGAGTGAATTTCAACCCCTGCCAATTTGAATTCAAAGCTCATTTTATCGGAATTCACTCGAAAGTGAATTGCAGAACCTGCCTGAATAAATATTTGATTACAAAAAAAAAAAACATTGCAAAACACTACATTTCGTCAGTTATAAATTCATATTTATTATTCAAAATACTTCATGGCTTGCAGTTTAAAAGCTTGCAAATACATTGGTTTTATGAGTATATTCATGGTTACAAATATTATGTATAATACCGCATTGGAATACAAAATTAAAGATAATAACAAAAAAGTACCAGAAAATGCCATTCAGCCAGTTTTTGTTAGATTAATTAAGTAACGATTTCAATTGCTTATACCACAATATATTGAACTAAATATCTTTGCAAATATATGTATTTAATTGATCACTGTGGTATACGTTCGTAATTGTTAAAAAACGTAAAAAATAAATTTAATACAAATTGGACCGCTTTCTTGACACTCTTACATCAGGCGTCCGCCTCTTGTCATTCCTACACCTTAGTGCGTTTGTTGTTATGACCCTCGATGCCAACATTACAACGCGATGCTAAGTCTTGGGCTGCAGATGTTCCGCCGCTGAATGCTGCTGCTGACAGCGCCGAAGAAGTAGCACCACCACCCAAACCACTTAAGGTCATTCCACCATTACTTGGACGTTTGCGATTTGGCGAAGTCACTGGAGACTTTTGCTTCAAACACTCTACATCATCAAATACCACTTGAGCACCACCACCACATGTTGGAATGACATTACCTTTGTAGAGCTTAGTTTCGACATCGCCATCGGTGTCTGCCTCCTGAGAAACCAGACAATATTTTGTGTTCTTGTGATTGGTAAGCTCTTTGGCATCAGTTAGCTTGGTGATCGATTTACGATTTTTAAGATATGGTTGCAGAATAGTGCCGAGAGGTACAGGGTTAGGGGCACGATGTTCGATCCACTTCTCACCAGCTGAACGTGAACGCCGGTGCCTATTGTTTGCTGCTGCCATTCCCTGTAGATGAGAGTAAAAAAAAATAAATTAAATATGGATGCATTGTCATCATATACTGCAAGTACTCACCCTAACATGACGCGGCGTCGAATACAGCTCAGTCCGCGCACTATTTATTTGTGTGGACTCAGCACGATTAGTCGATGGCGGCTCTGCAATGGCCATCTTATCATCGAAGCCATTTTCATTACTATTCCGCCGTACCATACTAGGAATATCTTCCGATTGTATAATGTCTGACACGAGTCGTAGCTTCTCATCCCGCACACGCATCTTTTCGCGCATTTTATCGCGTTGTTCACGTAACCTGATTTCCAATTCACGGTCCTTTTTGTCTACTTCAACAGCTAGCTTGGATGTAAATTTCTTTTTCTGTTTCTCCTTCTCTTGCTCCTTTTGAGTTAGCATATTTTGCTGATCCCTTAACTTTCGCGAAAGTTCGTCAATCTGCCTTTCCCGATTACCTAGTTTATTGTTCAGTTCGTCGATAGAACTTTCGTGAACACGTAATTTATTTTCCATTGCCAACATTCGTTCGCGTTCCTGTTTATAGACTGTCTTTAGTGACGCCAATTCAGTACGCAACTGTAGGTTTTCCCGTTCCATTTGCATCAAATGTGAGCGGAAGTTATCGCATCGAGTCTCCAAGTCAGCACACAATATTTTGCGTTTCTCTATGCGTTGCATTAAATACTGCATCAACTCTTGTATGGCGGTCTGAGCTTCAGGACTGTCGATTTTGTAGTCAGGGAACCCAGGGCCTAGTGAGTATACTAAACCAATATCCACATCCAATTTATTGGCATCTGTGTAACCCAAGTCATTGAGGTTGTTGACCGCAATTTTAAAAAGCTTATTTGCCTTTCGGCGCCCAGGCGTTAACCCAAGATCTTGTGTCATGGGCGTGGCGCGAGCAATCTGGACCTCTTGTGTCATTTCGGCAAACTTCATTACTTGCTGAGCGTACAAAATATAAGAATATAATGAAATAAGTATAAATAAAAAATGATTCCAAGCTGTGGAAATTAGTTGAAAATAATGCTCTCCCCATGATACTTCATACGTCGAATAGATAATAACAACAAAAAGATTTTATTCATCTTACCGTGTTTTCATCATAGTCCTCCGCACGAGGATTGATACAGACTATCATAGACACTTGGCCTTCACCATCAAAATAATTTTTGAACATATGTGTAAGCTTTGAGTCACGATATGGAATTTTTTTTGGTGCACAATTCGGTGATGCCTGCTGATTTTCGCGTAGATACTCGAGGCAGGTGCGCAGCGTCATCAATGAGTTGTTAATACTTGAAGCCTCACGCAATCGCATGCCTGTGTTTTTAGTACGGGATGAACGTTCACTGCCTGCCAAGTCGACAAGCGAAAGCTGGCTCACAACAATGGTGCGCTTATCCTGGACGACGTGTTCACCCTTACAATCAGTCGGAGCTTGCACCAAACGTATATTAAATACAGAATGACTTCGACTAGACTCTGCATTTAGGACTGTATGACCCATACGTTTGCGTTTTTGACCAAACTGGAATGCTTCGATCGCTTCCTCCACCGATTTTATTTCTATTTCTGTGACGCCGTGTACGAACATATTATGATTGGCATCTGCTCGAATAATTTTGCTTTGCAAAGTTCTAAAGTAGACGAATTTAGAAAGATACATACATTTTTTGTAAATATATCAAATTGTTACTTACTTCTGAGGCGCGTCTTCCTCCAGAAGGTCGTAAACACTATTATTATAAATCTCAATGTAAGTTACAAAAACAGCAAACATGTTGTCTTCTTCAAGTCCTTGTAGAGGTGGTATATCACACGAAGCTTGCGATGCGATTTCAGGGTCAGAATCTTTTCGCCTTAGAGCTCCGCGTTCACCAGCTGCGAACCTTCTATTCATTTCTGCCTGCCGCTCAAGAAGGGCGTCGGCTTCTGATGATATTTCAAAACCATTAAGTTTGTCAGGTTTGAAGATATACTTTTTTGCCTGGTAATCGGATATTGTTTTGAACAATGCATCCAAACAACGTGGCATTATGCCGCGGTGACGGGCATCTCCTGTCATTGTGTATGTTTTACCACTACCAGTTACGCCATAGGTAAATAGTAGGCTGTTACGGCCACGTATAAGATTTTCTACCAACGGCTGGGCAACAGAAGCGAAGACATCAGCTTGTGATAAGTGTGGTTCGAAGACGTGTTTGAATATGTACTGCAACTCACGTTGTGCTCCTTGTTTGGTCTGCAAAGCCTGCTCAGGTGGAGTCAGCACAACGGTGGTCGTGTTTTTCACACGTACACATGATAAATCAGCATCCGATTGCAATGGTCGTACGCGACAATAAACATGGACGGGATCGCGTGGTTTATTGGCATCATGATCCGATTTTCGTTCAGTATGCTGTGTTTGGCCACGTGGCGTTTTTGGTAAACGCAGTGGCGTGCGTGCGCTATAAAATACAATATTATACCAAGTCCTACTTTGGAATCAATACTACTTACATTGCCTTCATGTTGTCTTATAGAATGTAAATGTCTTATAAATTGCGGGTTGTTTGGTTCATAAAAATTTTAGCAACTTAATTTCCATTAACATAGGTGAAAAAGTCACAAATTTTGTTGTCCTTGTACCTATCAGTTATTTTGAAAGCTAGTTGACGTTTGAAAGACGCGCTATTTCAGCTGAAAACAGGGTCGCTTTCCTTTGACATTCTCTGTATTTTTACGCTAGGGGCGCATTGAGCGACAGAGAAGAAAATGTTTTATTAAGCAGCGTTCTTACGCATTT